ACCTCCAGGGACAGTGACTCCACCACCTCCCTGGGCAGCCTGTTCCAACATCTAATCACCCTTCCTGTGAATAAATTCTTCCTAATGTCCAACCTAAACTTCCTGCGGCACATAATCTGGGATTATTTAGACCAGCAATGGTCTCCAGTTTAGGGGTAGAAGCAGCCTATGAAATGGTTAAACACAACTAAGGTGGAGAAGCACAAGTGGAGTCCTTTGGGGCATCAGCCATGTCTGTGTTGTTTTCCCCTCACCACCCCCAGACACCCCAGGTCTCCTCACCATCACAACTCCACTGCTGCCCAGCTGTGAGCCACAAACCCAACACCAAATTCCATGGTCCAGATCTACCCTCTCATGGCTGGTACATTAATGGTTGCTCTGTTCCCATCCCAGGAGAGGTCACGGTCGACAGAGGGTCCTTCACAACACCAGCCTGTCTGTGCATGACCCAAGGACACACAGTGACGCTGTGACACGCACAGTGACACCGGATCTCCCAGGTTATCAGAGTCCAGTGTGCTGGGAGAGCCACATCTCCTGTCAACTCCCACGCACACACCAGCTGCTCCTGCCTGTGACTGACAGGGTTTGTTGTGCTCACAAATCTCCATGAGGCTTCTGCACGGCTTTTTAAGACCGTCAGGTCTTTCATGTTGGGAGGAGCTCTCAAGAACTCACCCTCACAAGCAGGTCTTGTGATCCTCACAAGCTCTTCAGCCACCCTCACAGCACTGCTGAGGACTATTCGACTGAGGAAACTGAGGCACGACATCAGAAACCACTTCCTTGGAGTTGTAAGGGAGCTGACAGCAAAAAGAGCAGGAGAATTGCTGTTCCTTGGTCTAACCAACCACCCTGCACAAGGAAGAGCCCTATAGGTTGGCCCAACGCCCAAGCACCTTTGAATCTTCTCTTGTCTGTTTACAGTTCTCAAAGCATTTCATTTTGCTCTTAATAAAAAGACCAGATCATCTTGTTGCAGGTGAAGAATGAAATGTCTCCTCCCTGAATTACAAGATGCTTTTATAACGGCGGGATGTATTTCTAGAAATTTACAAGTCAATCTGTGAGTTCACAATTCAAAATGAATTGCCCTTGAGACTCGTGGCAGGTGATGTGAGCCCAGCGCTGTGCCGGAAGGAGGTTTGCAGTGCTGTCATCTACACCCATGTCCACAGGGAACAAGGACAAGCTGTTACTGTGTGTCCTCAGCCTTGTTAACAAAAATGCCACCTGTCCTTCAGGCACTGACACCACGAGTGCCAGAGAGGCCTCATTCCGTGGGTAAGGGGACAGGGAGAGCTCAGGGCATTAACAGCGACGTCTGATCCTTCCCCTCTTTTGCAGGTTTGTGTTTCTTTGTTTCCTGCGCTGATCTCTGATTCCCTTTCCCTCCATGCCACAGGAATTGTGTTTGGCCTCTATTCCCACTGGCCCACGGGAGGCTCCTCTGAGGCACCTCTCACCTGTCTGCTGCCAACAAAGGCAGGAATGGGGAACCAACAGCCCCACGGTGCCATTGCTGACCCTGAGGTCTCCAAGGCAGGATGAAGCCTCCTGCCAGAGCACTGTGTTAGTCCCACATCCCTGCAGGTCAGCGGCTGAAGTTAACCCAAGTTACTGGGAATTCAGTAAGGGTTCAGGACCCACTACTGGAGAGGTTTTTTAAGGGACCTGTATTAGACACACTGAGAAATTCAGGAAACATGAAACACTTGGGAATGACCACAAAGTTGAGCAACAGGTATGGAGAAATAAAGCAGCAAATCCTGCTCCCTCCAGGTAAACTCTCTTTTGCCACTGCTGCTGGGCTTTAAAAACAGTGACAGGGATGACTTCCAGAAGACAACTGAGCCTGCTGCATCCCAGTTATCTGGGACAGGCAAAAAGGCTTCTGGGCAGGGGGAAAGCCAGCAAGGAAGGGACCAGGAAATGGTCTCCTGGAGGAGTGTGTGAGATCTCCCTCCCATCACTACGCAGGAAATGCACATGCAGCTCCCCCTCCCATCCAAGGAATTGGAAACCAGTCTCTTGGAAAAGGGACTTGAACTGAAATGCAACTTTCAAGCTCATCTTGTGCTGGCTGGGTCTGTTTTTAAGGCACTTACCTAAAAAACCTGATCCCTGCACGTGGTCTCTCAGCTGCCTGGGCCATTCCTTTGCCTCCTCCAAGGGCATTCTCCAGTGTCTTGTCACCAGTTCAGCTGCTTCCTCCAGGTGTCAATCCAGCCTCCTCCAGCCCCCCAAGGAGCAGTGGGATGTACCTTTGGGCTGAAAGAGAACACAGAAAACAGATTGCTGTGACAACAGGCATGTCAGAGGAGATAAAAATACCTCCTCACCAGTCTGGTGAAAGTCAGTAACAGAAAATCCCTGTGGTCATGTGGCTTTTAAACCTGCACAAACTCAGCCCTGTCCCAGCACTGACTGTGCCTGGCCAGGCCCAGGCCTCTGCTCTGAGTTAACACCAAAGAGCTTCTTCCGCTCGGCAACGCTGGAGTAGGAGGAAGGAATTAGAGGTCCTTTGTGCATCTAATACCCAGGATTATTCTCATGGAATATTTCCTTGGATCAGTCCAGCTGACTTAGGCCACAGTCCCGTATGGGTTCCAGTGAGTGGGGAGGGAATGCAGCCATGGCAGGGCTGGGATTTTACACATTACAGCAATGGGGTGAGAAAACTATTTACACCATTATTTACAAGAGCATGCAGTAACAGGACAAGGGGGAATGGTTTCCCACTGCCAGAGGGCAGGGTTAGATGGGATATTGGGGAGGAATTCTTTGCTATGAGGGTGAGGAGGCCCTGGCCCAGGTTGCCCAGAGAAGCTGTGGATGGATCCCTGGAAGTGTCCAAGGCCAGGTTGGACAGGGCTTGGAGCAACCTGGGCTAGTGGAAGGTGTCTCTGTTCATGGCAGGGGTGGAATGGGATGAGCTTTAAGGTCCCTTCCAATCCAAACCATTCTGGGATTCTATGAAAACACTTTTACATTGGCAATTACCATACTGGGTGCATGGAGCAGTTTTAAAGCCTGGCAGTCTCCACAGCAAGTACATTCTACAAACCCTAAAACGAGCAGTCTCAATTATTTACACATTTATAAAGTTAAAACTATCAGACAGACAGAACCATCTCTCAGATAGACATTCCCCTCTGACTGCCATGTATTTTTGGCTGAAGGTATCTCTCCAACTCTCTAACAGGAGGGGGGAGCTGGAGGAGGTCGGGCTCTCTTCCCAGGGAACAAGGGACAGGAGGAGAGGAAAGAGCCTCAAGCTGCCAACAGGGGAGGTTTGGGTTGGACATCAGGGGGAATTTCTTCCTGGAAAGAGTTGTTAAACTTCTGAAGGGGCTGCCCAGGAAGGTGGTGGAGTCACCGCCCCTGGAGGTGTCCAAGGAATGACTGGACATGGCACTCAGTGCTCTGGGCTGTTTGACAAGGTGGTGACTGGTCACAGGTTGGCCTCGATGAAATTGGAGGTCTTTTCCAACCTAATTGATTCTCTTTCTAGAGGTTAAACCAGAAGTTTGGGTCCCTTTTTCTATCAGTGGGGGTTTTTGCCTGAAAAAGAATTAGATCCTGACTTTATCTGGCGTCACAGACCAGGTAAATCTGCACCAGGTAAATCAGCAAAATGCCAGAGAATCACCTCGACCCCTCCAGCTGCAGAGCGGAGTCTTCCAGGGAGCTGCCACTGGAGCAGGTCCAAGGATGAGGGTTTTGCACACCTGAAAGGTGCAGACACAGAAAATGGGGTAAAGCTGAGATAATTCTAGAGCCAGATCTCTCAGGAATGTTCTCTTTGGGCAAACGCAAGACCCCGTGACCTTGGAAAGGCCCAGCATTTCTTTTGGAACAAGGACAGGACAAAATGAGTCACTGGTCTCTAATACAAGAGCTTGATGGCAGGACTGCAGCCTTTGAGCCTGGAGGATCACCAGTATCATCTATAAGCGTAGATCAGCCAAAAACATAACCAAGGGCACCACTGCAGCCCGGGATCTCCCCTTTGATGGGCACAGCAGCACCACTGGTGTGAGGGGAGAGCAGCGGCTGAGGGGGAACAGGGTGGGAGGGGAGAATGGGGTGAGGGGGAACGGGGCTGTGAGAGGGGAATGGGGCTGTGAGGAGAGAGCTCGAGCATGTGAGGGAAAATGGGGCTGTGAGAGGAAAATGGGGCTGTGAGAGCGGGATGTGAGGGGAGAGGACGAGGCTGTGAGGGGGGAACAGAGCTGAGAGGGGAGAACAGGATGTGGTGGGGAATGGGGCTGTGAAGGGGGAATGGAGCTGTGATGGGAGAGCCCGAGCATGTGAGGGAAAATGGGGCTGCGAGAGGAAATGGGGCTGTGACTGGAAATGGGGCTGTGAGGTGAGAGCGGGTGTGAGGGGAGAGCCCGAGGCTGTGAGAGGGGAACGGTGCTGTGAGAGGGAAACAGGGGTGTGAGGGGAGAGCAGTGGCTGAGGGGAGAGCGGGGCTGTGAGAGGGAACGTGGTGTGAGGAGAGAGCCCGACGCTGTGAAGGAAAATGGGGCTTTGAGGGCAGAGCGGGGCTGTCCCGCGGCTCAATCCCAGGACAGGGCGGCCCAGTCCCACGACGGGAGCCCAGCGGGAGCTGCCCGCGCCACGTCCGCCGAACACCGCCCGGCCACGGCAGTGCCGCCCGAGCAACCCCCTGAGCGGGACCACCCCGCACCCTCCCGCTCCCCCGTCCCCTCAGCTCTGCGGGGCGCAAAGGAGACGCACACCCTCCCTCAGCACCCGGCCCGGTCCTCTGCCTTCCTATTGGCCACGGGTGCTGCCTGTCACTGACCGTCACGCGCGGCAGCCAATGGGCTCTCAGGGAGCGGAGGGGGCGGGGCTCGCTGGGCGGGGCCGGGGGCTGTGGCGGCGGCGCGGGCCCGTGTGAGGGGCAGGTAGGGCGGGGGGGCCGCGGGGCCGCGCTCGGGCGGGCTGAGGGGGCAGCGGCCCCTCACGGCCCCGCTCCGCTTCACCCCCCGGGGCGGCGGGGCAGCTCAGTCAGGGGGGCGGCCTGGATCACCGCAGGCATCCCGGGAGGCCGGGCTGTGGGAGCCCCTGGAGGGCTGAGCATCCGCGGGCCTTCGGCGGGAACTGAGGGGAACCCGGTCGGTGTCGGGGGTGGTTCGAGCACAGATGGTGCAAAAGGGGGTCGGATCCATCGCAGTCTTAGAAGGGCTCCGGGTGATTTGCACAGAATCATCCCAGAGTGGTTCGGGTTGGGAGGAACGCTAACGCTCATCCAGTGCCACCCCCTGCCCTGGGCAGGGACACCTTCCACTGACCAAGTTGCTCCAAGCCCCGTCCAGCCTGGCCTTGGACACTCCCAGGGATGGGGATGTTCAGGGTGAGGAGGTTACTGAGAGAAGGAGCACGGGGTGGGTGTGTGCGAGCATCATTCTAGGGGTTCATTCCTGGGGGCTGCCACGCTCAGTTACAGCCCCAGGACCTTCACCTTCACCTTAACCACCCATCTCCTTTTGGGCAGATCCTTTTGGACAGACGGCTGCTGTGGGCTGGGCTGATCGCCTGGAACACAGCAGCTCTAAGGCACGTGTGCACGTGCCCCTTTGCTGTCAGAGTCAGAAAGAACCACAGATAAATTATCCTTTGTGTGGCTGTGGGTGTTTTACACAGTGGGTGGACTCTGTCCAGGTGCCATTCTGAGTTTTTATTTAGGGTAGAACAGATCACGTGTTTTCCCCTGCTTTTGTTAAAATGGCATTTATGAGTTGACCAGATGTTCTGAATTCAATTGAGAGGCTAAAACTCAATTCCAGGCACCCGCCCCACTGTTAAGTTAAAAATTCAAACCAAAGTGCAAACCCACAATGGGGGACATGCAGCTCAGCTCAGTCCTGTTCCCCAGATTTGTGATGAGGACCTGAAACCCTGACGTGCAGGGGAGTCTGCCAGGAAAGGACCACTGTGTGAGGAGATTGTTGAAACTTTGGTGCAAAGGGTTAATAAATCCTGGGCTGAGGAGATAGGACTGGAATGCATTTTGGTGGGTTTTGGCAGGCCAGCTTGTTAGAAGTGGCTGGTGTTTTGTTTAGATAAAGAAGAAAGGAACTTGGTGTTGGTATTCCATTATGTGAGTTTATAGTGTTGTTAAAGATAAAGCAAAGAATATTGCAGTGATGTAAATCCCAATGGAATCAACATCAGGTGATGGAGTAGAAGTACCTGGAGTGAGCTGTGGGATTAACATGGAGCTGATTACTGAAGGTGTAAATTCCCTTCCCTGAGTAAAGCTCTGCTGAAGTGGCTTTTCTGAGCTGTCCCAAGGTCCCCAAGACCTGCTCCTCCTTTTCTGCCCCTGAGGTTGAACACCAGCCTGATCAAGGCCAGCTTGGCCTTGTGCAGAGAAATTAATATTCTTATGGACTTGTACAAACACACATCTCTGGAACAGCTTTATCCTTGCACATGGGGGCTGGAATGAGATGATCCTTAAGGACCCTTCCAACCCAAACCATTCTGGGTTCTGTGATTAATGAATTTATCAAGCTGCCAGCTTGGAATAATTGTAAAATCGGGATTTTACTGAACAGGTATCTTGGGCTAAAGGAGGTTTAAGAATCAGTTTGGAATACTTAGGAATATTCCACTCCTTTCCCATGGCTTGTGGCTCATGACAGGCAAATACACTGGTTCCTTCAGCAGCCTTTGAGTATCAGAAGATAAGTGATTTAACTTTTATGACACAAAAGTTTATTTAACTTTATGACAGCAGTGAGGCCCCAGTGTGCTGCAAGGTCACTCTTGCTCTGTGGTTTTCCTGGTTCTGTATCTTTGGGTCACTCTTGCTCTGTGGTTTTCCTGGTTCTGTATTTTTTACTGAGCACAACTGTCAGCAGCAAAATACCTGTTGCAGGGCTCCACAGCAGTAAGAGAGGAACAGGGGGTTTTGTGCAAGTCAAACTGTGAGGAAATCAGGGATGTTTTTGCAGGGCTGGGGTAGTTTGGATGTGTGTTTGTAGGGGGTGTGGAAGCTCTTCAGATAGGAGTGTTTTTTGGAGTGTGTAAAGTGTTCCCAGGAGTTTCTGGCTGGCATCAGCTGTGATTCAGGGATAAAATCCCCCTTCCTGGGCAACACTGAGGCGAGTGGGCCAAAAAAAGAGCTCTGACTCCCTCGTTGTGGCTGCGTTCAGATGACATCCTCCATCCTGGATGTGAGTTTTTGTTCCCTCAGGCTCCCACGATGTTTGCCCAGTGCTCCCGGAATTCTGTGAGCCCCGTGGTGCTGCTGGTGCTGCTGGGCTGCCTCCTGTGCCCCCCAGCACAGGCCAGCAAGGTGGGTGACAGCGTCGGGCACCGTGGGAGGGGCACAGCAGAGCCAGAATGGCAGAGGAGCAGCTGGGGATGTTTGCAGTGATAAGGAATGGATTTGTGGTGCGTTTACTGTGTAGGGCTGGGACTGTGTGTGACAGTGGCCCCTGCCCTGCCTTCTGCTGGGCTTTGGAGTTTGCATTTTAAAATGTGTTCGAAAAGCACCTGGCTGGAGGTGCTGGAAGTGGCCGAGGTGCTCTGGGACATGTTAAACCTGATGTCAAAGTGCAGGAAGAAGGGAAGTGGGGGGAACTGTTCTCTGGGGTGGAGTGTTCTCTGTCCCAGAGGATGTTCAGCCTGTCCCCAGCCCGGGGTGGTGAGGGTGGCAGAACTGGGGGTTCCCTCCCTCACTGGCTCCTCTGCCCCCGCAGAGCTCCGAGGACATTCGCTGCAAGTGCATCTGCCCCCCGTACCGGAACATCAGCGGGCACATCTACAACAAGAATGTGTCCCAGAAAGACTGGTGAGTTGGGCTGGAAGCCTGAGGGCTCAGTCCATGAGAGCCACCAACGCTCCCAAGTTGGCAGCTGGTGCCAACCCTGCCTGTGTGTTTGCAGAGGGAGCTGTGGTAGGTGATGTTCAACCCATGCCGGGGGCGTTTTTTAAACAGAAATTGAGGAATCTGGGATGATTTCTTAACCCACAGCTCTTGGCACGTGTCAAGAGCCTCCAGTCCCCCTCACCTGGACTGGATCCCTGCAAAAGGCACTTGGACAGTCTGTCCCAGGACTAGCTGAGCTGTGAGGGGAGCTCCTAAAAACAGATCGGCGTTATCAGCCTGCAGGGAAAGCTGGGACACACAAAAGTGTCACCCCAATGTCCTTCCACAGAGCACTGGTTTCACCTTCACCTTCCTGCTGCTGACCTTTGTTTGTGCTGCAGCAACTGCCTGCACGTGGTGGAGCCCATGCCAGTGCCCGGGAACGACGTGGAGGCCTATTGCCTGCTCTGCGAGTGCAAGTACGAGGAGCGCAGCACCACCACCATCAAGGTAAGGGCAGCTCTGTCCCCGGGCCTGGCTCCTTCTCCTGGCCAGGCCATGCCAGCCCAGGCACTGCTGCACTCTGGGTTCCTGCAGAAGAGCCCAGAAAGAGAAAATCCAGCTGTCACAGTGGGTACACTGTGGCAGTGCCAGGAGCTCACTCTCTGCAACTCCCTGGAAGGAGGCTGGAGCCAGGTGGGGACTGGGCTCTGCTCCCAGACAACCAGTGACAGGACAAGAGGACATAGTCTTAAGCTGCACCGGGGAGGTTTAGGTTGGACATTAGGAAGAAATTCTTCACAGAAAGGGTGATTACATATTGGAAGGGGCTGCCCAGGGAGGCAGTGGAGTCACTGTCCTTGGAGGTGTCCAAGGAATGACTGGACGTGGCACTTGGTGCTCTGGGCTGGGGGACAAGGTGGGGATCGGTCACAGGTTGGACTCGATGATCTCAGAGGTCTTTTCTCACCTAACTGATTCTGTGATTTCTGTGTCTGAGTCAGGAATGCTCCTGGCTGTGAGGAGCTGCAAGAAGAGTCTTCTTGCTGAGGATGTGTGATAGTGCCAAGCACCTCTGAGCAGGAACCCCTGTCTTGGTGTCCTCCCACGTGCAGCACGTGGCCTGAGCTGGCACAGTAGGAGGGTCAGCACAGCCTGTGCAGTGACAGCACATCATCAGCCCCTGGCAAGGGCAGGAGACCTTGTGAGCAAAACGAGAATGAGAGAAGAGATCAAACACCAGAGACAGCTGCAAAGGACCTTGTGACCTCTGTGGTGCTTCTTCCCCACGGTGCTGATCCTTTCCCACGTGCTCCTCTCCAGGTGATCATCATCATCTACCTGTCGGTGGTGGGGGCCCTGCTGCTGTACATGGCCTTCCTGGTGCTCGTGGACCCCCTGATCCGCAAGCCCGACCCCTACACCCACCCCCTGCACAACGAGGAGGAGAGCGAGGTGAGGCTGCGGGGGCACCGGTGGGCTCTGCTCGTGGGGCAAACGGGGTGACAGGAGAGTGGGTGACAGGGAAACAGTGACCTCCTGTCTCCTCTGAGCCAGGGAGGCAGCACTGCTGCTTTGGGGGCACCCACACAGGGGAACACTTCGATCAGATCTGTGCAAGTCCTGCAGAAGCACAGGGAATAATCAAAGTTCTCACCTTAAAAGGTCTCAAAGTTCTACCCCTAACCCTGACCCTGTCCTCTGTGGCAGGGGGTGACGTTGTCCCAAGTGGCCTGAATTTGGTCTGTCTGTCCAGATGGAACCAAAACTCAAACGCATTCCTATTTGTGCAGTGTCCCAGGTGGAGTCACTTGGTGCTGAGCTTCCAGGGAAGGATGGGCTTAAGTATTTGCTGGAACATCTTATAGACACTCAAAGAGCAGCCTCGAGGGGCTGTTTGACTGCTCTGGGGCTGGGCCCTGTTGTAGCCAGGCTGTTGGTCCTTGTGTTTCTCCCCAGAGCAGAATTTCATTCAAATCCCATCTTCTGGGGGACACTGGCATACAAAGCTTGGTCAGAAAGATCAGGATCTAGCAGCAAAGAGAGAATCTCTCTGTGTCTCACACACATACACACATTTTGGGAAAGGACAAATTTCTTGCTGCATGAAATTCCTGCAATTTTAGCACTGGATCAGACTGTCCTGTTTGTATTTTAAGTATAAACTATTTGGCTCAATTCTTTCATACTGTGATATAAGTGAGGAGTAGCTGCTCCAGTGTGCCCATTACCACCCTCTGCTGAAAAAGGAGGTCCTGCAGGAGGAGGTGAACTGTATCCTAGAATTGTGGGTTCGCTCCCTGCACCACAGCAATGATCCAGAGTTAGATCCGGGTGCACTCTGTAAATGCCTGGTGTTAGGTGAGGTTTATCTTAGTGC